AGGACTGCAGATACAGTCATGGAAAAAGCATGCATCTTTACCCCATAAAAGTTTTTTTATTTAATAACTGGACAACCTAACTTCTAGAGTTAATAATTAAAGAGAAATTCAAATAACTTGAACCACAGGAGCTTTTTTCCCCAAGATTAGATGAACAAAATAATGAGACCCTGGAAACACAAAAACTGTTTCTTTTTCCTCCTCCCCATTTTCCTATGAATTAAACTGCAATCTAAGGCAGTACTACAACAGCGTCATTGAAGCCATTCCTATCCTTGCCTTTATATCCAGAACACTCCAAAATCTTTTCAAGAATCGATATTAACTGCTAAAGATTAGTACAAAAAGCATCATGAATCTTAGGTACATGTAATAAGAATTAGAACAGGGTTATTTACGGTTATATGACATTCTTCAGTTCTTCTTCCGACGCTTTCATCTTCTGCAACCAACAACTCCAAGTACCTCCTCAAATGCAAATTACACATATGTAAATCTCATATTTCGTTTCTCATTCCCTTAGCAAGGCTTTCCTGAGATTGAAGAGAGATGCCACACAAAGCAACACCAATTCCAGCTGATCTAGGTACTTCTGCAGCAAAACTGAGTATGATACTCCTTTGTTCCTCCCATCTCCCAGAGCACACTTCCCTTACTTGCCCTTATTCCTTCAAAGAAATAATCCATTGTCTCCCACAGAGAATTTTCCCAGCCATCTAATTTCCCTTCATTGACAGTTTACTCATTCTGGAGCCACTCTGATTGCAACACTGAGCTCTACTTAATGCAGATATGAATATTTTCCTTGTAATTAAATGCAAAACTTTCACAGAGCCATCAGCATCAGACAAGACCAATACCTGAATATCTGAACTCATTGCACTCAGTCTTAAAGCCTAAAATCCTCTTCAAATGACCTCTTAAACTGACAACACACACTTGTCATTTGATGAAGGTGTAACTCCAAACAATCATTTAATGAAATAAGTATTTCAAAATCTTCCCAAATGAGCAACAGAAAGAAATCTTACTTCAGTTTTAACACAACTTCTAAATATTATGAGGCAAGAACCTGTAGTAATAGTAGTCTACCTTAAAATTCCAGGAGAAAATAAAGTCCTGTGTTGTTGTCTTTCTCTGCTGGATTTGCAGGTGGCCTACAATCTGCTCAACTAGCCAGCAGGAAAATAGTGTCTGGTTGAACAGCTACTAGCTAATGCAATTATTAAAACCAGAGCAGAGTTAAAACACTTTGATTTTTACATAAAATAAAATAAGCAGAGTTCAAGCATATAAGTCAGGATGTTCATATGATCAGCCCTGAAAATCAGGGGGAAGAAAAAAAACCTAGACCTGCAGAATATTTCAGACAGTTTCACTGACAAGGCAGCCACCGCTTCAGAGCCCTTTGAGACAAACCTGTAGTGTTGTTTTAGAAGAAAATTGCCAGCTGCAGTAAAGCCTTTAACTTCAGAGACTTTCACTCTGCATTCTGAACTCAACAGAACGAGGAAAAGCCCATCCCTGCGAGCTCAGCAGGGTACAGGCACCCAGTGCCTTCACCTCAGCTTCGGCAGATCCACTAGAGGGAGATCCTAAATTAAACAACCTCCAATTTTGCCAGCAGCCAGCAGAACAGCTGAGGATGCCAACTGCAAGCAAAGATCAATGACATTTTTCAAATATATGCAAGAGAAGGAGACCATGATTTAATTTTATTTTAAAAAGAGCGAGAGAGCCATACCCAACAGCTGACTTGCAAACTAAAAGGATGTACACAGCACAATCTTTAATATTCCTCAGAAGTCATTTAGATTTCTGTGAACCCTTGCATAAAATTTAAAATTCATCTACAGCTTTATGAATTTCTGAATAGTAGGCTCAGCTAACATTAAAAGTGCTTTCCTTTTATGAATAAAATACAACATAGAATAACCAAGCTAATAAAAGAAATCACCAGTGAGAAAACAAAGCAGAAAATAAGGATACTGCAAGAATCAAACTTCAACTGTAAGCAATTCTACAGTAAAAGGAAAGTTACCTATATAGCATTTATTTTACTTGAGTTGAAGGCTCTATATGCTATATTACATACACTAGAAAATACAGCAATTTATTTAAAATATTAGAGACAAGTTGTCCTCTTCAAGTACAGATTTTTGAATTCTTTAAGTACAGATTTTGAAGCAGTATCTTCAGAATACCAACTGCATGTGTTAGAAGTCTTAAAATCCTAGCAGATAATTGAAAGAAACAAAATTATCAATATATTATGCATTGATCTTCACACATTTATAACATATACCCTCCCAATACCTTTCCAAAGAAAAGGTTAATTTGTTTATAAAAGAAGGGAAGTTGCAATCTATTTTCTAAAATTTAGAGCTAATATGAAAGCCTCAGAGCCAGTGACCCATGTAAGTAAATATTCAGCTATTTCAGAGATGCTGGAGTGGGAAAAATTAACAGCAAGGATTCATTTCTAGCTACACTTTTAGGAAATCATATCAACTATAGAGAGAAGAAATGCATTAAACTTTGAGCAAGGAGTCCAATTAGCTTGATCCTAAACTGTAAGCTACTCAGTATCCCATTTCCAATACTGAAGCAGGCATGTTTAGAAAGATACTTGATCTTTTTTAATTCTTACACTGATAGAGGTCAGAAAATATGTAGATCATGCATATTAACATATGTAGAGCATACATATAAGACAAACCTCTCAGCCGATAAAACTTAGGAACACTTGATGACAGTATTCTAACACAGATACATTATGAACATTATCTTTAAATATTCTCTGGAAATGTTACCAGGCTTACAGAGCAATCCTATGTGCATAGCTAGGATTTTTTTTTAAAAGCAGCAGTGCTAAACTACTCATCTTCAGACATCTGCTGAAAACCATGCTAATAATTAAGCTTTGGTTTTATTTCATCTTGATGGAAGCTTAAGAGCACCTATGTGTGACAGAAAAAAGCTAATCTTAAACAACTACAGTCCTTTTTGGCTGACAGGGGCTAGGGAAGAACAGTTATCTCCTGTGCCCACCATTAGCTTGCGATGCAGCTAATTAACGCATTTTGACTTGTACCTTCTGCTGCTACCAAGACAAATCACAAGGAGAAACAAAGTGACTACCTTACAATTCAGAAAACTTAAAGGTTACAATCAGTCACTTTCAGACATAATTGCACAACTTAATTCACGTCCTTGTCAGAGCTACACCTCAAAACTGTCAAGAACGACCCGGTAGATGACAGCACTGTAGCCAGCACCTGGGCTGTGATACTACAGTCATACTCAACTCTCATTTCAAAATTTGCCTGAAAACAAAACAACCAATCATCAGAGATTAACTGGTCTTAAAGTGAATGAAGCAGACAAACTCCAACTGAAGTGGCACCTTAGTTCAGTAAAACTTCTGCTACTGAAAAAATATATCAACGCAGCTGTTAGCCCACATATACTTTGCATAAGCAGCAAGAGAATTAGGATTAGGCAAATTACAACAATCCATGAAGACACGCTGACCAAAAAATGAGCACTGTCATGCCTGCCCATGTCATTTCAGCCTCTGTAGTAGCTCAGTTTTAGTGTTATGAGGAGTTAAACTAAATTATGAAGATATGTATATGGATATATGCATATACACATGGTTTGAAATGTGTATCAAACTCTCTACAAATACAGGTAATGGGAAACAACATAAACCTCTCAAACTTGTGGTAATTATCATCAACCAGGTCTTTTTAGACTTTATACTAAAAGAGTAGAAACCAAACACTTCATGTGTTCCCAAATGTTGGCCAGGAGAGAGGTGACAAACAGTTAGAATGCATGAAATGTTTACAACTGAGTAATCCTTAGGGAAAGAACTGAGGGATTTACAAGAGGAAAATACCCAGCTGATGGTAGGAGAATAGGAATCACAATAGGATTATTTTAGCAGGCAAAAAGAAACCCCATAACTCTAGCTACCATTTCTATTTTGGCCTCATATGTTGCATAACAGTGTAAGCACTGCAGAATGTATCATCCTTGGTCTAGATAGCTTAGTTTCAAAAGGTAACTACCAGAATAAAGAGCAACTTGATAAAGTCACCTTTTTTGCTGTAGTTGAGACAGCCCTAGTAAAGTTATCTACAGCCTCTCCTACACACGAGAAAGAAAACCGGTACAGAAGAACTCTCTCTTGTTACATGGGCAATCTTTAAAGTTTAATGAGGACAAAAGAATTCTATTTGGTTACAAGAACACAAAGGACTCTTAGTCTTTTAAAAGAAAAACTCCCTGTGTGTGTATCACAGTGTTATACTGATCAATTTGCTGCAGAGCCTACCTAGAATATGTTACAGATATCACCTGAAGACTGAAAGCAACTAATTTTTCCACCAATGTTTTACACCCTATGTCACCCCAGCCTTCAAACAGATAAAATGACAGACCTGTTGTCTAAATTTTATGTGCTCATCTGAAGGTTACCCCTGGATTTAAGGTCTCCAAGCTAGAAAACTTTATGGTAAGAACTGCCAAAGAGGATGACCTGAATTCCAAAGTTTGGAGGAAAAAACCTCTTAATTTTATAATAAATCAGTAATCAATGAGAAGCAAGAATACTGACACACCATAAGAACACTGGATGACTCTAGAAATCCCGAAAAGTATCCTAATTACAAGGTACATCTTTCTTGGTCAGGTCTTTTGGTTTTGCTTCCTTAAAGAAAAAAAAGGCAAACGCAGCAGTTTTTATAGGTAATAGATAATACAAAAATTGATTTACTTGCTAGAAATTGCATTTACAGGGATGGCAGTGCAGTTGAGAATCACTGTTAAGAAGCAGTAATTAGTTAGACAAAACACCCAAATAATTAAAATGCCTATAGGCTGAATCATGATTAGAAACAAGATTTATTGACTTTCCCACATAATCATTGAATTTTTTCCACTTTTGTATTTGAACAATCTTAGAAAAAAAAAAGTACTTAAGAGACTCTTACCAGCTTCCTGTGAATTTAATACTTCTAAGGCATGCATCATGGCACTTGCAAAGACATTGGCATCTTCTTTGCTGCCAAAATTCAGACCGTACACCTGCCTGGCATCACGCCACTGGTGGAAGGTCTGTGTAGCCTGATTGTACTTCAGCCCTTTCGGAATGGCACAATTTATTACCACCTACAATCATTTAAAAAAAAAAAATGAAATTACTTCTGTTTAAAATTGCTGTTTCATCACAAGTTTCAGCTTTATGTAGATTTTATTCCTTAACCACATGGGTTAATTCAAGACCCACAATCTGAAAGACCACAATGCTGAAGCACATAACCATTTCAATTTTAATTCCAAGGCTGCATGTAATCAGTGATGAGAATACACAAGGGGACTAATGAGATATTTTGTATCAACTTTTGTAGCTTAAGTGTTCTCACTTCAAAAGATGCAGTGATGTTTCGTAACAGCAATGTAGTAACATCAACAGTTCTGACTTTCAGCAGCAGACTACTCGATGTGAACACGCACTTGGAATTCAGAAACTCAGTTTTCCATGAATTTCACAGAGTATTTGTTACAATTTTTTTTTAACCAAGTTATCACCTTCTCTCTGTGACTGTTGCGCCCCTTGGCCTGCAGGGCTTTCAGTAGCAGTTTATGTGAACTTCAACGATGCATCACAAGGTATCATTTTGCAAGATCGTTGCGGTTCACACAAAAGATGATAAATTCGAGCTGGTAGTACAACCATTTACTACGAGCCATCCACTAAGAGGATCCCATTGCACTTCGATAACCGGATCACTCTCACCTTTTTCGCTGAATAATGGGAGGAAAAACCCCACGATTGTTCTCAGATGAACGCACAGAAACCATTTATTACTTGGAATAAGTGTTTAATGACAAATCACACGGGAGATTATCAGTCTATGCTTCAGGTGTGTGATAAATGACCAAGAACAGATCAAAAGAATTCTATGAAATGCTGGGAGAAAGGGGAAACAAATATAAGAAGCTTTCCTCAAACAAAAGATTAGATTTTTAACCCCATCATAAGTATCACACGGCAGAGCATATTTCAAGACACAATGCTAAGTCTGCCATTTAATCCCAATCCAGTAACTTCCTCAAGGAAATTAAGATATAATTCTTATTACCCCCTTCTCAGTCTCTCAAAGCATTACCAAATATCAGACAGCTTTTTGGTCAAAATGATCGGGGGAAATGAGATATCATGCATCCAAGATTTGATAAGACAGGAAGAGCCAAAATACAACTGGTGGTGTCTACACAGACTGCAGCTGACAGCACAGAGTAGGGAAGAAAAGCTTTTAGGTTGCTACTTTGCCTTAAAAACAACCAGATGACTTCTGTGTACACCACTAGCCTTTGTAGATAGATATCTGTAGGAAGGAATGGAAAAAGGACTGTTGTCTTGGAGGTATGTAAAGTGCTTAGTTCATGGGGAAAAAGCAATAATGCAGTTTTGCTCCTTTGATTAGAAAAAAAAAATCCATTTATTATTTACTTGTCCCATAATTTTGATGAAGATTTATTTCTTAACATTCCAAATTTTCAGAGATTTTCTTACCTGATGATCCTGAATCTTCCTGCCCACTACTCTGAATGTGTTGTTGCCTGTGTGATGATATATATGAACTCTGCTGAATCCAGTTGATCCACCAGCTGGTACCCATTTCTTATTGGCATCGTCATAGACCATTACAGCAGCTCGTGCTTGGCAGATACTCTGTTCACTGTTAAAATACAAATATTTTGGAGGAGAAAATAAAATTACTTACGGCAAACCATCAATTTTCTGGTCAGCTTTTTTTTTTAAACTCAAAATGTTAAAGCAATACTCCTTGCAACTTGCTGAAACACCCACCTTTCTGAATATAAACCCTGTAGTACTTTGACATTTTGCTTACATGTGTTCATTCTAGAGAGTTGTGGTCAAGATAGACAGGCCTAACTACTAATGAAAGAGATCAAGAAGATATTTACTTTTCCTGCACTTTCCCCCTCTGCTTTCTCCTCACCACCAACCATGAATTTTAATTAAATGCCATAACAGTACACAAAGTTTTCTGCAAAATCTGAAGAGCAAAGAATTTGGTGTCACACTAGCTTCATACAGTTTGGATTTTCCAGTGGCAGTTACTTCCACAAGAGATGAGAATTGGAAGGCCCTTGCTCCCTTTAACATATATAGAAGAAAACAAACACACGTGGGACAAAGTTCAGCACAAAAAATTCACCAGCTCGTAAATGGAATGCATTTGGGATTTGTCTCATTTTACAACAGCCAACACCTAGATGTAACATTTTCTCCCTGAGAAAAGGTTCCATTGATTACTGAAAAGTGCAATTTCATGAGGAGATTGCTATCAGTAGCTAATCCTGATTATGCCAGTCATCTGGAAGCTAAGGTAGAGCCTAAAGTTACAAAGGAGCGTATCACGAATGTCACCATATTAGAAACATGAGAAATCAGAACATACCATAAACACACTGTTTATTAGGAGAGAAAAGGGTGACACTATGCAAGTTGGCTTTACGGGAAATGTCCAGATGTAGACAGGAAGTAAAAATAGAAAGGAATGATTTCTTATCAGTAAGTCAAATTCTCTGAACATACCACTCCGGTACATCCAACATTATAGAAAGCACATGATGCCTGGCTTGTAAGGAATGTGGCCTGCCATTTGGAAAATTGAGAAGGCTGAGGAGACATACATTCTTCAAAAGTTACAAAAGGAAAGAAATGAAGTATTTCTTCATATTTTATGAAGGAGGGAGACGATGCCTCTCCCACCCATCTTTCTTGGAGGGGGGGAGGCTGTGGTTTTTATTGATTGGTTGGTTGGTTTGGGGAGGGGTGTGTGTGTTTGTTGGGTTGGTTTTTTTTAAAGACCATGTTGAATTTCCTAATATCTTATTTCTGTCTCCCAACACAAGAAAATTCTGCACTGTATCCAGCTGTTTTGTTAACTTTCAATACTGACATTTTTGAGAAAACGGCATCAATTTCTATAATACTTTCCATGACAATCTAACAATTAGAAAAGCACTGAACACTAGGATGCTTTTCAAGGTAGGGGAGAAGAGGGAGTACTGAGATCACGTCTCTTATGCACGCAAGAGATTCAAGAACAAATGAGGAAATACGTTCTTAATTTTAAAAATGCATGTGTTCTAGTCTCATCAACTATTCAATAGCTAGATAAGAATTGGATTGCAACCTCTAATTAGACCACCCTTTTTCTAGCCAGAAACTAGTTCAATGTAGGGACATTAAAATTATAGTATACATATATACAGTGCTTTTTTTCTAAGCCGAATTTACAGTTTAGACTGGAAGGACCACATCTGATCCAAGAAGAAAGATTAGACGCAAAGAAAATAAATTTAGTTACAACTTTTATGTGTTTCACAGCCCCATTAAAAATATGGCACAGTTAAATAATGCTCAATCATTTGAGAAGAGGGCAATGCAAGAACCTACTGGATTCCTTTATTTTTAGATATTTTGGCACACATCTTAAAGTTCAAACCCAGAAACATTCTGTACTGTTCACAAAGTACATGACAAACAGTAGTGGTTTTTCTAAAATGCCTAACAGTATTAGAGTAAACTTGGAAAACTTCTGAACCCACAACAATTTCTTGCTACGTTTGAATTTGGATCAATCACGAGCATGATAAAGCGTAGGTGACAGGACCTAGATACTGATTTGGAAGCAGAGCCATGTGGTTCGCAGAGTTCTTGCCAAAAAGTAACTTCAACTCAGTCATGTGCCAGACAGATTAAAAAAAAAAATTCTATTAAAAATTGAGACTATTATTCTAAGCTAATATGTTCCAATTACAACAAAGGTAGAACCAGAGAGTCATTGAGTAATGGTACAGTGATCAGAAGACTTAATTATTAGGACAGACCGTCAAAGATCAGGTGTTCTTATTCAGAGAATTCTCTCTGCCTTGTCTTGGTCCTTTCACAGGCCTAAGTTTATAGAAGTTTTTATGATTTTATTTAACATACTGAGAGAAGGGGAAAAAAAAAAAAGAAAAACCTATTCATTTTAGAACTATTTGGTATTCAATGGCACACTTCACAAGTGCAAATACGATGACCTTGAGTAGAATTTCTAGCTTTTCTTTAACAACTGTTAAACTATTTTTAGTTCTGCTTCTCAGGCTATGCCTTGTAACTGGAACTATTACCCAAGTCTAGATCTCAAATACTTCATGCTCTATTTAAAATAAAACAATTTTCTTAACAGGGAATTATTCTTATCCATATAAAGGTATGAGATGATTCACATACTTTTAGAAGTTACAAATAAAAACAATTTTCAGTTGACCTTTTCAATCACTACACAATAAAACTTCTGCCTTCATTTCACACAAATCATATAACTAAAATTTCAATGTTCCAGGTATGTAATTTTCATATCCAGGTATCAATTTGAAGGTGACATACTCCCCTCCTGCCAACAGTTCCCACCAATCATCACTTTGTTTATCAGGCTGCAACAGAGAGATGGAAAAATGAAGCTATCCCTATTAGAAACAAATTAAACCATCACAGTATGCTAGCCTTTTTCCAGAGTTCAATAATTCCATATTACTAGATGTAGGGGAGATTTATTTAATTACTTTCTCTTACTAACAATTCTCTATAGTGATTACATTTCGTTTTGAAGAAAAGCATGGAGGCATGAGCTTTAGTAAAGAATCTTTAAGTCTGCTCTTCAATGGCCATTTGATAGTTTAGCATTTGAATATGGTATATCATATATTGTAGCCATGAAACACTATAAAGTAAATATTTAAGTCTCAAAAAAAAAGTTGTTTTTTTTTTTTTGTTACAACTCTACTAACTTCAAAGGGCTACTACACCAATCAAAAATTCATGCTGGTAGCTCATGACTATCTTTGACAGGTCTAATGAAAAACAAAGTTTGGTTTTTTTCCATGTTCCAACTTTTTCTAGGAAAATGCCGAGTTCAACATGCAGACTGTTGCTAAAACCTGAGCCAGTGCTCTTGTATTCCTTTAAAAATATATATGAACTTAAAATTCAGTTCAAAGGAAAAAGAGCCAACTGAATCAGAACAGTATAATTTATTATATTTCTTGCTTATCACGCTTATTACACTTCCCTGCTCTACTTCTAACAGGAAACAAGTCTTCACTGATATCCGTATTTATACATGAATTCTCTCCACAGGGTTTGCTGTAACACATGTCCCTTACATGCAGGAACTGACCTGTGCTAGGATGACTTCATTCACTGCACCAGAATCACTTTGGTCTGTTCAGAAATGCACATTTCTTATGGACAGATTACTTTTCACTAGTGGGAAATAAACAAATCATCTACAGTCATGTTGAAAGAGAAAACAAAAAGGGTTTTCACCTATTTGCCACGTCTTCACCTATTTGCCAAGCATCCTACAGGGTTTACTTGTCTTTCTACAAATTTGCCTCTTCCTGGTGTCATGTAACAGTTCCAGAAACCATTACACTTGGATTAGCCTGCCCTTTCCCCATATGAGAACTCATTGGGGGATGCGGGAGAATGAGCGAAGGGATCTATCTCCAGCTTCAAATGATACTGCCAAAAGGCACAGCTGCTCTAAGAACTGATTGCTAACTCATTAGGGCAGTGGTTTGGGGAACTAAAGTGACAATCTGAACATTAACTATGAAAATGGAGAAATTGTATGTTCCCAAGTAAGCTTACTAAACTCAGTATATGAGTTATATATATATATATATTTGCAGAAAAGTGAAAACTCAAACAAGAGAACATTCATGCAAAACAGTGCTTACCAAACCTTAGGAAACAAAGTGTACAAGCTTTCCTCCCAAAATGTAAAGTTTGACAAATAGCTCAATAAATATATTTTAGGAAGACTTCTTCTCTAGACAAAGATGTAAGGCTCTGATTGTTAAAGCCAACCATTATTCTGGGTAAGTCCACCTACAGCAATACCATATAAAGCCAAAGACAAGGTGGCTGGTTTTTATTTGGGGTGGAAGAGTGGGGGGAGGTCTGGCACTCAAAAGGCTCACACAAAAAGCCACAGTAGTAATGAATCATAACTATAAGATTATTCTTATGGGAGAATATACTTTCCTCCTCCAGTGATGAGATCATACGGAAAGCTCAAAAACCATAGCAAACTGAACCCTAACAGACATCATTCTTTTGCCCAGATGGAATGTGTTCATTCTTTCACTCCCAAGTTCTTAAGCACAGTGACACCAATCCACAGTCTGCTGACTTAAGCCTTTTTTTTTTTCCTCTCCACAAGAAGTGAATGCTTGGTTTTCCTCTCTCAAGAACTAAAAAGGATAAACATACTTAACCGATCAAACTCATATGAAAAACAGCACGATTGCAGCCACAGAATAGATCATTTAACTATACTAACAAGAGCAAGGAAAAGCTGTGATTGCTCTCATTCTCAACCTTTAGTATTTTTCTCAGTGATGTAACAATTAGGGTTTTGAAAATCATTTCCCACTACCGCTGCTTCTGGTGATTCAGGGATTTTTTTTGCTATGTTCTCAATTTAGAGAGACATAACAACATGTTCTTAAATGTGCAGTCTTTGCGGGGCAGAAGGAATGGAAAGAGACACTGATTCATCAAACGCCTGTTTAGGATTTTCAAACCATGTGGCACAAAGCTAGAAAGAAATTCCATACATTTCCAATCCAAATATCTTAAAAATACACGTTT